AGCCGAGCCGAGCCGAGCCGCGCTGCGAGCGTGGGGAGCAGGCGGGGGAAAGGCTGGGCTGGTTCAGACGCGTCGGGGAAGGCGGCTCTCCTGTCGCCGGTGCAAATACTGTAATTTCGGACACTGAATATACCAGGCGGAGGACGAGGTTTGTGCATTTGTTTTTATTCATGCAGCACATCCCGTCCGTCCCTAAATTCCACAGGGCTCGTCTGCCGTAGTGTGCAAAACGCAGAGAGAGAGAGAGAGAGAGAAGAAACCTCGGCTGGCAGGAAGAGGAAGGCTGGGGTGTCCGCCAGGGGAGTGCAGGCTGGAAGAGCAGCTCCAGCAAAGGATTCCTTCTCCAGCAGGAGAACTGCCTGTGCCCCACCCAAGAACCACGCAAGCCTCCAGAGGAAAGAGCTCCCGCTCTGCCTGGTCCCAGCAGCCAGTCCGCAAGCAGCCCATCCCGGTGCCCGTGAGCAGGAGCAGCAGCGGTGCCTCTGAGCGGGCGGGAAGCCAGGCCCTCACTCCCTGGCAGCAGCAGCAGCAGCAGCGTTGGGCTTAACCAAGCCGTAAGACACCGCCTGAGCCAGGCACTCCTTGGCCACCTGGACCACCTGGGGCTTGTCCTCCACCCTGCTCATAACGGACAAGATCTCCAGCATCTCGCTCTCCATCAGCCTTGTGGCAACCTCCTGGTCGGCTGCCATCATGTTTCTCACCACGACCACGCCACGGTGCTGAAGCTCGGTGCAGGGGCTGAGCAACAGTGACTGCAGGATTTCCAGCCAGTCCGCTGTCTGGGGAGAAGGACCCAGAAAGGCAGGTGGCACTCATGCCCTGCAAAACCTCCCAGGGTCTGGCCCTGCACTTGCATCCACCAGACACCCCAACCCTTTCTAGAGGAGGAGCCAGCTAGCTGGGTGCAACAGCAACAGCACCACTTCCAGGCAGGCAGCACCCCTCCCACAGAGGCACTCCTGGGATAATAGGCCTTTGGCAGAAGGATCCTGCCCTCCTGGGACTTAGCCTGTCTTCCCAGGCTCAAAGAGCAAAGTGTACCCCTGAGCAACTGGAGTGGGGGGCAGTGGGCTGCATCAAGCAACTTACCACTTTGGGAATCCGAACACAGACCTGCGGGAGCAGCGAGGTTAAGACCGCCAGTGTCCCGGAAGCTGCCCTCCGCAGCCGCTCATCTTCCTCCCCACTGTACAAAACCAGCAGTTTCAGCCGATCGCTGCCTTCAGCCAGAAACAATTCTGCCACCTATATGAAAGATGGGCAGCTATCAGGTGTGGGGGGGGGGACTTGCCCACCCCTCCCCAGCCTGCTCTGAGCTACTGACCTCCGGGCTCAAGGTTAGGTTGCACATGCACTCGGTGGCCGCCAGGCGAATCATCTCGTGCTCCTCAAACATGTAACCTTCAATCATGGCCACTGCCTTTTCCTTCACCATTTTCTGCCTGCAAGAGGTGTGGGGAGAAGTAGCAACAGAAGCCACGCCATGACCCCAAAGAATCCTGCCTCCCTACAACCCAGAAAGGCCTCACCTGAGCCTCTCGCTGGTCCCAGCTAGATTGGTGAGCGCCATCAGCCCCTCAAAGTTCTGCAGGCTGGAACGGTTCAGGTGCAGGAGGCTCACTAGGGGCCGGACCACCTCATAGACCTGCAGAAAAAAAGCCACTGGCTCAGAGGAGCCCTGCCCCCGGGTCATGGGAGAGGAGGGACCATGAACAGGGCCACCTCCCCGTTCCTGCAAACACCGCCCCGCACAGACCCGCTCTCCGGGAAAGGCCATCTCAGGGGCTGTCGTGATAGCAATCTTGGCCAGGGCCTGAGCTGCCTTGCTCTGTCCTGCGTCGGTCCCCTCCAGAGCCAAGGGGATGAGTGCCTGGTGGTGAGGAAGGAAGAGGGGAGAAAGAGCTGGTCAGCCTGGGGCCCCCGCTGGGAAGAGGTGCCAAAGCAAGAGGAGGAAGGGGTGATACTAACCTTCCCCCCTCCGGCAGCCACCACAGCCCCTCGGTTCTCTGGGTTGTCTACTACAGCCAGGAAAACTCTGTGGTGCAGCAAGACACAGTGGAGGGTCAGAGCTATGTTCAAGCACGTGCACTCACACCCACGTGGGGATACAGACAGTGGCAAGCAGTAGGGACTGTAATATCCACACTACACTGCTAAGCCACATTCCGAATCATTTGGCTAAACAGACACCAAGACAACTGGAAATACAGGATCCAGTACGCCTGCTGCACTGGAGAGAAACTTCTGGCTGCCCCAGGGTGCTTTCGACTGGATTCCTGCAGGGGACTGGACTTGAAGCCTAAATGGCTTCTTCCAACTTCAGGATTCTGTGATTTTAACTGAGGAGCTTGGAGGGGCTGGAAGACAGAGGACAGCTGCAGAAGTCAGGGGTGGGCAATATTTTTCATCCCTTGAGTGCTCTATTGGGCCCTGACTCCCAAAACAACATTCAATCAATGTTTTCCTGTCATAATGCTAGTTTGCTCCAGCCCTCCGGTAAGTCCCCCAGTGAGAAAAACCAGGTCCAGGAACTCCGGTCCCATTTCCTGGAAGGACTGTGGAGATGCATGTAGCCCATGGACTGCTGGTTCTCAAGACTCTTCTGCAGCCCTTTCCCTTCCCTCCGGTTGTCCAAGTATAGATCTTAGAGGAACCGCTGCCTAGCAAGATCAGCAGCAGAATGAGATGGCGCTCTCTCACAGGTACCGTTGATCAACAGAGCATTAGGCAAAGCTCTGAAGGTCTCTGGAGCTGCAACTCATCTTTGGCCTATTGCAGGAAAGATGGGCACCCAGCTGTCCTGCAGAAATCGCGCTGTGGGTTCCAGAACTCCTCCCTGCTGCCACGCCTCCACCTCCACCAGACTGTTCTGACCCGATTCAGTTCTGGGCTCCAGGCCATGTTGCAGAGCCTCACCTGGAAACCAGCTCACGGCAGGCAGGGCTTAAAGAGCTCTCATTCTTGACCATGCACACGAGTGCTGAAACCACACCAGCAGCCAAGAGCTTCTGCACACGTCTGTGTATGAATTCTGGCTTATCCTAGAACGTGAGATGAGGAGTGGAGTCATTCAGCAGTGGGAGCCCTTTACAGGCACTTCCATTGTGCCTTTGCCCCCCTCCAAGATGTAAACCCCCCTTCTCTTCTGCAGGGCTTGGGCGGGAGAGAGTCGGACACAGACACCATCACCAGAAGGCCTCCGACTCGCCACACCTGCACCTGTCCTCCTCACCTTGGGATGCTTCTCCGGAATGTGCTGCTTGGCGTACTTAGCAAGTTCCACCATCTGCGGGTCAGGTTCCTCGCAGTCATAGCTGCTGGTACAGTTGACTAGTGTAGAGGCCACTGCAAATAAACAGCTCCGATTCTCTGACTATGATGGAAAGCAAGGAACAGGGAGAGAATTTTATTCAGCAGCCAGTTGGTCCTTTGAGTTCACCAACCAGCATTTGTAGCCTGCAGATATCACGGAATTCTGGAGCTGGAAGGGTCCACTGTGTCCCACCCCTGCCCAGGAACGCACCCCCCAGAGATAGCTGTTAAATTATTACTGGCCACAATCAGCCCACACCCCCAGGGTGACTGCCTCCGCTGCCGCACTTCTCTTTATCATTAGGACATTTCTTCCAACATTCAAGCAGAATCTGCCTTCCCCTGAACCACCATTCAGTGTGCATAAAGCATAAAGAATAAATCTTTTTTCCCAAATGTTATTGCTTTTATTGCAGAACAAACGCAGTACAATATAGCCCATTCTGGACAATGACACGGCACTTTCTCAAGCACTGGGGGGCAGATCCAGACTTGCGTACAGACTCCACCCAACCTGAAGCATATTGTCACAAGCAATGAGAAACAACAGGACAATGATGCCAATGTGGGAAGTAGACCCTGCAACAAACCCAGATGTCTACTTTGTCCCCACATCTACACCAACAGCATCATCACAGGCCCCATCAAGAACACAAAGGATCAGAGGCACCTTCACATGCTGTTCCTCCAGTGTGATTTGTGCCATCATCTGCAATCATCATTTTATTTCAAACATATCTGAAGAAGGCTTTGTGTTGTTTCTAGCATCCTTTCCTAATTTCAGTGCATTCTAAGCTTTAACCTCCCTGATGCTACAATACAGGGCTATCTCTACATATTCTTCCATGGTGACCTGTCCTTCTGCCTTCTGAATGGGCCCTTTTGACTATTTATATTTCCATTAAACTTTTGCACAGCCATGCTGGAAGACAAAACAGCAGCCACTGCTTCATTGGTGATTGTGTTCTTAGCACTTCATTTTTAAAAACTCCCATACAAAACCTGCACAACTTGGGCTTTTTTTCACATTGTAGAATCCTGTCATCATTCTAAGCTCTGCTGGGATCTAAGTCACAGTTCAACTAACCCTCACCCTTTGTCTCCTTTAATACCAGGAATTCCAGCATTACATGATCATTTTTCCCTGATGCTCCACTACTTTTCACTTTATTAATCCAAGTCTTCTCTGCTGATTGGAATAAAGTCAAGGATCACTAATCCCCTCCCCGCTATGTGAAGGAGAAAGCTCGCTGGTAAGTCAGGAATTGTGGAAGGGCCATGCTTGACAGAGTTTGTCTTCTCATAGATATCAAGGTAACTTTCACATTGCTCAGTACCACTTCATGCTTTTTTGAAAGATCTGCAGTTTGCTTTTGGAAATCATCATCATCCAGGCCTCTTCTCTTGGGTTGTTAATAACAGACATGAAGAACAGTTGCTTTTATTCCTTCTTTCACTTATTTTAAATCACACCCTACAGCTCATCCAAGTCCATCCCCTTGGACCTTTGTGCAGATGTGAATATTTTTTACAGAGCAACTCAGTCACCCTCTCAGGGAGATGGGCGGCATATAAATTTAATAATTAATTAATTAAACATCTCCACCCTTTTTACTGCTGCTAATCCTTTTGAAGAACTGTATCATTCAACTGCTATATTCCAGTCATAAGAACCATCTCATCAGGTCTTGCTTATATTTGTCTTTGGATAGTAAGAATCTTGTTCTGTGGACTTCCATACTAAGGAACTTTATCAGTGTTCTACCTGATTTTTCACTGAACAATGTGGTACTCAAAATTAAGCTACTATCACATATAGAGGTAAGAGGAACTACTTAAATGCAATTCTGAAGCACCAAGTAAGCTCCAGGGCAGACCATGGCAACATCTGGAATATGCAATGGCTTAAACTAGAGTTGATTGTGTTTAATACACTTGGCCTGCACACTTACAGAAACTCCTCTGCTACAAGCTATCTCTCAAGGAAGTTATGAGCCATACAATGGAACACTTCCAATTAAACAGAAAACGACATTTTAGGAGAACTGGTTCTTTCACATGCTGTTTCCTGGGGCATTCCATCATGTGTGCTCTACTCCCCTGGGGACCTCTAGTCTGACGCAGTGCTGCCCAAATACAGCTTTACCATCTTTAGTAAAAAGTAGGCCTGTGCCCTCTCCCTTTCCTTCCAATTTAGCAGGTGAACCATTGACATAAGTACACCAGAGAGGTTTCTTCCATAGCTGTCCACCTGAACACTTTTCAGAAAATCAACAATTTGCCTAGAGTAATGTTTCTAGAATAACAAAACGAGTTTAATAGTTATTTCATGCTCCTGCATCTTTTGGTCTACAATTATGAAAGGTTTAACCAACCCTGGGAAGCTAAAAATCAGTACAGTACTGACTGAGACCGGAATTACAGTCGCTAAGTGACGTGGTCGTAAAGCGCGATGTCACCAGACCGCCCTGCTTAGTGATGGCAATTCTGGTCACTAACCTCCTGCCAGCTCCCCATTGATTTTGCTTGTTGGAAGCCAGCAAAGGAGGTTACCAGTGGCAACCATGTGACCGCAGGATGCTGTGACAGCCAGACCTCCAAGGACCAGTCATAAGTAGCACTCATTCAGTACCATCGCAAGTTTGAACGTCCATTTAATTAGTGGTCATTAAGCGAGGACCACGTGTATCAAACATAGCAGTTGGGACAGTCTCTTCTCTATCATGTTTGGTTCCCAAAGAAGCTCTACCTGTGCCAGCTGGAACAGAGCCTGCAGAGCTGCCTTGTCCTCCAGAAGTTCTTCCTTGACATCTGCATCCAAGGTAAGGAATGCCAAACCTTCTGCTGCCCAATAGCGGGTGCCAACATCAAGAGTCTCATTACACAACCATCTAGATATGGAACAAGGAGACATCAGATCCACTAACCTTCAGCAGGGAGCATTAGAATTTCACTTCAACCATTAGGGAAAAAGGAGCTGAAACATGCAATGCTGGCAGGAATTTTGGAAGACAAGACCCAGTCCATATTGCCGCTACATCGGATCACTGTTGAGGCTTTTAGCTTCCATTCAGAGCATGCATAAAACACTTCTACCTGCAACCAGATCACACTCACCCCTGGATGTCCACCACCTTTACAAATGTGAAAGCAGCAAGCAGTACTTGATGCCTTCTCCCCAAAAAGGTGCCAGACCAGGTAGTACTGAAGGTGCCACTGTCTTGTAGCCAAGGAAGGGCCTCACTCACTTGCAGCACTGCTTGGCCAGTTTCAAGGTAGAGCCTTCGGCAAACTGTTTCATGCTGAAGTCTGTGCCCCCTGCTGAGCCCAATTTACAAAGGCCCTGAAAACAGAGAAAACAATACATCGCACAACCTACACTGTGCAGTTATCACTTACCAAAGGCCTTGTCCCAAGCAATCAAGGAAGAGAAAGAAGCATACAGGTAGTCCTCAACTTACGACCATTCGTTCAGTGACCAAAGTTATGATGGTGCTGAATGGACTTACAACCTGTGCCCAAAGTTATGGCTGTTGCAGTGCCCCCCGTCATGTGATCAAAATTCGGGCACTTGCCGGCCCACCCACGCTTACAACCACAGGAGCGCTTCAACTCTTCCCGCCCGCCTATCTTCCCCCAATCTCTGCCCTTTTGGCTACCCTCCACCCTGCCTCACAGGGTGGCAAGCAGCCCCAGAACTGCATGACTCTGGGGCAGCAAGAAGCCCAAGTTGCAACACGGCACTAAGCTGCATCCACCCCAGCCCAGCTGCCCCAAGCCACCCTTACTGAGGCTCAGGGCTGGCAGAGACCAAGCCCAGAATGGCATAGATTGGGGTAGGTCCTCACCTAACAACTGGTGGAATTTGCTTAATGAGGGCAAGGGGAATTGCTGGGATTGCGGTTGCTAAGTGATGTGGTCATGTTATGTCTCGCTTTACAACCACACCATTTAGCAATGGAAATTCCAGTCCCAATTGTGGTTCTAAGTTGAGGACTACTGTATCTGAACATACTCCCTCCCTGTCACCGAGCCTAATCCAGAACAGGCTCCTCTTACTCACCACCAGGGCCCGGATGCGAATGCTGTCACGCTCACTGTGCTTGTAGATCTCCTTGAGTAGTGTCACACCATTAGCGGTGATGAAGGAGGCACGTTTGGCCTTGTCAGCTGCATGGATCAGGGCCTCCACAGCCACAAGCTGGTGAGCCACCTGAGATGAGGCACACAATGCCAAAATACTCTCCATGATGCCATTCAGTTCCAGCACTCGGTTCCCAGCTTCTGAGGGGCCTTGCAGGAGGCAGCTCACTGTCTGGATGGCCCTGAGCTTTCCAGGCATGCCATGGTCCTGGAACCAGTCCCTGGAAAGGAAGAGCAACCAGCCAGCTTCAACCAAGAAAGAGACTAACCATTAACTACTCTGTAAATGCAGAACACATTGCAGGAAGAAACCAACAGCTGAAGGAGCTCGTATCTCTTTCATTGGCAAGGCTCCTGCAGCATCGTGAAACTCTCGCTGACAGAAAGCCGGCAAAGCCAAAAGAGCAAAAACTAGCCCTCTGCCCAACCGTTCTTCTCCATTCCTTTATAAGAAGTAGACAGCTCCTTCTTTCAAACAGCAGTTCTCTCCAAAGAACCGCATTTACAAACTCACAGACCTACCTGACATAATCCTCACAGAGCCGATGGAAATTCTCTCTCTCCCCATCACACTTCAAATCCTCATAAAGCTTGTTGAGCAGGACAGCAGCAGTCATGTGCGTGTTCTCCGTCACACGCAAGCCTTCAGGACAGTGGGGTACCGTACCCCCAACTTCCAGGATCTCTTTGAGACCTGCAAGGATACATGACTTACTAAAACAGAGAAGGGACCAAGAACAGAAAAGTTTGTTTATTTATAATTCAAATTTGTCACCACTCATCTCACTACAAAAGTTACTCCATAGAAGGATACGCTCACCATGATCAATGACCCAAAGGGTCAAGGAGTTGTTGGAGGCCGGCAGTGACTTCGGGGCTGTTACACTGATCAGCAAATTGAGGATGCTGTCACGACCATAGGAAGAGAGGCCTACTCGAGTGAGAGCCTCTAACAGCCATCTAAGGAGCAACTTCAGCTCTCTGGATGAGTCTACGGGAAGAGCATCGGACAGAGGGGTGAGCAGCATCTCCGCTGATACTTGTGAGCTACTATCGCTTATAGTGTTCAAGCGAGCAAAGGCATAACTTGACCTAGCATAACTGAACGCAAGTTATTCACCTGCAAATGCCTGAGATGATGTTTTATCCTTGGCGGATTTGAATAAAAATTTGGAAATTAGAGATCTAAAAGCACAGTAATAATTAGAAAAACTACCCTAAGCAACACGCAGCACAATTTTAAGCAAGGCAGGCCAGGCTGTATTTCTGTGGCAAAGCTGGGAAACGCAACTTACGTTTCTGGCCCTTCCTGGTACAAAAGGAGGCAGACGAGAAAGTAACGACCCACAGAGTGCTCTGAAATCCATCCAAACGTAGCACTATATCGTGAAAACGCGGCTCTCGCAATCATTCTCCTGAGGAGGTGGGGCTAGTGGTACAATCCTCACAGCTTCAGAAAGGCAGCCAGGGACTCACCTGATGCCAAAACATTCTCCTTGTGGAGCACATCCTTCTGCAACCCCTGCTCGAGGGTGTCAAACATGACCTGCAGCAGGCTGTAGGCGGCCAGTGAAAGCCGCTCATCCTCCATCTCTAGCACAGCAAAGAGGCGCTGAGGCCCCAGGTCGCCCAGACTCGCCACTGTCTGCAAGAAGGTACCCGTCTTTGAGGTGTGGGAAGGATCTAGACCCATCTTACCTTGCCTTTTCTCTAGAACTAACCTCTTCTCTGAAATTCAAGTCTAGCTAGAATCGCTCACAAGGAGCCAGGTGCTGCTTCTCAAAGCGCTAGAGAAACAGAAAGTCTTGAGATCCAAGCAGGTGAGGCTAAGGAGACGGGGTCGTTTTCTCAACGGCACAGCAAGATCCAGTCCCTGCTGCGCCGCACAGAAAGTCCAGCGTCCCCTTCGATCTGGCAAGGAATCATCAAGATTCTGTAGACAAGCCAAACCCAAGACTCTTTCCCAGCCCTGACGGTCATCTTGCCCTCTCCCAAGCCCCTTTGCTGGGCAGCTGGGTCACCAAACCAGAGGCAAAAAAAAGTCTGGTCAGCAGAGGTGTCTCCCCTAGTTCCTGGCCACATGCAGCAGGGGTTTCAGGGAAAGACACCACCCCCAGGGTGTGCTAATTATTCGGTGATGCTGATGTCAGCACCAAATGCCATCCTTGAAACTGTCAGGAGGCAAACGGTTCGCCCCCCCCAGCTCTGAAAAAACACTGTCTTAAAGCAGCCCTTACTCGAGAACAATGGCCACGGCAGAGGCCAGTGAAGATCCGTAAGGCTGCTACCATCATATCCAAACGGCCTGTGTCCAACAGCTGCAGCAGTAAGCGCACTCCATCACTCTGGAAAATCTTCTCAGCACCAGGCTCCTCTCGAGCCAGAACTATCAAGTTCTGAGCTGCCTGGTCAGGAGGAGAACCACTCTGTTTAGCTACTTGAAAGAGCTTTCCCTGTTCATACTATATCAGTTCCTGCAAAATCTTGACCCATCAGATGCCCATGCCTTGCTATGCACTGGGAGGAGCAGACCTCCCAGCTGATGCCCTCCACCTACACTGTGCTTCAGCTCCCATAAATGCAAGCCAGGGTAGCCATTAACCAATGAGAGTTGAAGCCTGGTACTTCAAATCAGGAAAGGCTGCCATAGAACATCAAAACTTGGGGGAGGGAGTGAAGGGAGACACTGACCCCAAACTTCAGAGCTCAAGCCCCATTATTGTGAGACTGTGGATGCCCACCCACCCACTCTTTGTCCCCTCCCCCCATATACCTGCAAGATTATTATTTCTAATTCTGGCGCAACATTCAAAGGAAACCTCCATTTAAAAAACCAGCTGGAGGGAGGCAACATCTGCTGAGCTGCAAGCAAGAACATGCTAGCATCTGAAATCCTGCACTGCTTCTACACCCTTTCCAGCCCACCTCTCGCTTCAAAATTGCAAACTTCCTCTGAGACTTTCAGAACAAGCTCATCAGGTTACGTAAACGGCACGCGACAAGATGCAGCACACCTTTCCTAGCCCATCACCGAGATGCATGGCGACTCCCTCCTCACTGGCCAGTACCTTTTGCTTCTTGTCCGGGTCGTTTTCCTCGGTGCTCAGCAACAGCTTAAACATGGCTTCCACTTTGGAGTCAGTGCAGGTCATGGCTTTCATCTGAGAGGGACGCCGAAGCGAGAGAGGGCTAATTACCTGCTCGAGCCTTAACTCAAGGAAGCCAAGAGCGCCCGCTCTACACGGCACCGGCCCATCCCCGAAGGCCCTCGGGACAGAGAGGACGGAGGAAAGCACCCGGGCCAGCCGGGAGGCGCTGCCGAAGGGCCTACCTTCTCGTGGGCGCTGCTACCGAGATCCCGCAGAGCCTCCTGGAAGGCCTTGTTCTTGGGCTCCAAGCGCACGCACCTCTGCAGGTCCGAGGCGGCCCGGTCGAGGCGGCCCAGGCCCCGGAGAGCTTG